GATTGTGTTTTAGACAGGTGAAACCAACCAGGAATGACTTTAAACAAGATAATCAACTGAAAAGGGCGATCTAAAATTTTGCAGGAATGTGTATAATAGCGTGCTTTAAGCATGTGAAAGATGGCATGCAAGATCAATTACACGAATCGATAATGAGGTTCTTGGGGTACCACTGATCCGATACTGAGATAGTGATATAGCTTTCTAAAATTGCTTAGAAATGAGCAACAGCTGCACCATTGGCTGAAATTAATTAATGTAACAAATTGGACAATTGTACAGCTTTGTATCCAGCAACCCAAACAGTAATGTACAGCACTATATTATTTTCATCATCTATCTATGCAATGTAACCATGACTCTGAGGATCTCATAATATAGACAAGGACATGTAAATGAAATGCCATATTGAAGAACGGTTCAACATGGGATTATCGCATAAATATACTAGTAACATAAATAGCAAGGGTAGCAGCAGTTTCTTGTGCAACGGGAGAATATGTGTACCTTTGGACATTTAGGACAACGGCATGTACATCTATCTACTGCAAGAGCAATCGGGGCATGAAGGAAATTGAAGGCGGCAACAACTTCTACTGCAAGAGATTTTGTTAAAGCATTGGGAGTGTGGCCAGATGCAACACTGAAACTTGGGTATTGAACAACTGGTACATGAAAGGTAGTTACTTGAATTGCACTTGCAACAGTGTGGCCTTTGAAGACAAGGCAAGCATTCATAGCAGCAGCTCCATGAGATATTGAAGCAGGACATTCCACTGCACACCATGAGAGAAGCCAAGATATTAAGACTAGTTCAAATTTGCATTGAGCAAGACAGGGATGCAAAAAGGGGATGCAAAATGTCTCGGTTTTGTAAACTTTTCATCATGCAGCACTAGTCTAAATTTAACAGTTAAGACAATTGTTCCGTATAATGGTAGAATATTATTTTACATATCGACATAAGTTCTCACATAACAACATTTGTCAATGGACAAAATAAGTAGGAAGAAGAAGATGAAGGCCATCATCCCATTTTGCCCAATCTTAAAACGTACTTTGAAGAACAGATCATTTTTACTAGCACCTATAGAACAAAAGGGTAATTACAAAAAGACTAGAAGAGCCTACAGAAGATTAAAACACAAGAATACAATGGGCTCTTTTTATCATTTTTATCTCGTAATAAAAGATATCTCCTTCATTCTCATGTTGACCCGTTGGACTGAAAATCTAGGAATTGAGTCGAGCCACTTTATTTTTTCCAAATGGCAAGAACAAAAACAATGCATCTTAGTATATACTAACCACTGTTTTAAGTAATGTGATAATCTTCAAATAGCAAAGGCATTTATTCACGAAACATATCGAGTGTGTACTCAAAGAAAATGTAGCGTTCCCTTTTTATTTCTGAGCTACACATCGACTGAGAGCACAAATAACACCAATTCACACACACACACACACACACACACACACAAATACATAACAAAAAGAGATGGGAGGTACCAAAGCCATTTCCAGAGGTAAGACCTACAAATCTTTCGAGTTCTGAAGTGAAAAAAAAAGGATTAGAAAGAGAAAATGCAAATTTCAGAGTTCTACAGATCTTCAAAGAAAAAGGTTATTGATAAGTTTCTTACGTAGGGAGTAAGGGATCTGAGTTTGCCACTACAAAATCAGCAACCCTGCCAAATTGTCAAGTCCAATCAATTTTGGGTTAGGTAAAAACCAAAGAACAGATATCTCCACAAAGTCCACTTTTTCCTCAAGTTTACAGAAAGAAAGCTATCAGGCAGAAATTTCACATAATAATTTGTCGAATAGATGCTATATGAGGCAACTGCAAGTTCAATGACATACTCTTTACAATATCTGGAAGCAGGTTGAAAGCTTTCAACAGCTTTAAATTCCTCCTGCTTACAACAAAATTTTGATTAGATTTCAAATATGATCAAGTCATAAGATGGAGTAAAGAAAAAAGAAACCAGACTTAATAAAAAATAATTAGGCATGATCTTATCTCTGGCTGTAAAGCCTTGAGAAAGATATGGACAAAGTGGAAAGACATAATGTCTTATTCTTGGGAACCTTACGCAGGAATTAATATGCAAATATTTGTAAAAATTCTAGTTCATGATGAATGCACAGTGTTGCCTCACAAAATTAAGAATATGGACAAACCCAATGTAGAGCATGAAATTTTTCAAAGGAGTGGAGACAGATCAATCGTTCTCCATTACATGGGATGCATAATCAGGAAACTGTCAACTACCTAAGGTACTAATCAGCATGAGCAAAACAAACCAAGGTACACTAAAAGAGCGCTGAGCATAAATGACAGCCTATGCAAATAGGAGAGAAAATGGTGAAAAAACAATCTAAAATGCTCATATTAATTTGATGACTTAAATGAGCTTGTCACCAATTATGACCTATTTTTCTGTACACTTTCATCATACGATCTTACTAGCACAAGTTCTATATGTGGTTTCAGAATCCAATATATTGAAATATGAAAGAACATGGTTAAAACAGCAATGTAAAATGCTACTGGGAGAACAGAGAGGAAAGGACCATCCTCCATGTTTCTCATTGGCAAAAAGCAAAACACAGGAAGGATGCATGCAAATTGTTAATTCTAATGCCTCTGCTCTACAATTGGTTTGCCAGAGATTGCAGAGTGCCAACAAAATCCCCAATTCACCTCACCTATTTCATTACTTGGACCTAATTTTCTGAACTCCCACAAGGAGACATTTAACATGATGTATCAGGTGGTGAAAATCCTCCACAGTCTATAACTACATAGAAAGGCTGAACACTTAATTAGTAATTAAGCTAAAGTAGTTGGAAAAATATACCTATATAAATTGTAAGTAAATGTTCATAAATTTATGGCATTCATTGTCCAATCATGTATTCTTTTTTTGATCGCGGTATCTAATCATTTTTTAATCCTAATTCGAGCTCTACACGATTATCAATTCTCATACATACTATATAACACATCTAATTAATGCATTTTTTACAAAATTTAGTTCATTGTAAGAAGGTTAGGAGACCCAATACTAATTTTGGCTTTTCGCAGTTTGTACCCCAAAGATTTTAAATTTTTCATTTTACACTCGCAAAGATTAAATGAGGGCCACATTGCAACACTTTTGAAACATTGAAGTGAAGGTAAAAAATGTAATCTAGGTATAAAATAAAAAATTTAAAATCTTTGGAAGTACTAATCCTGTATCAAGGTTCTATCTTTAGCACCTTCTGATGCAAAAGTTGAGTTTGAATTCAAAATGAAAATTGCAAAAGAACTCGACAAGAAAAAAGAGCAAGTAAAAAATACCAAGTTCTAAAGCACACCAAAATGAAAAGCAAAAATGAAAAAGAACTGGACAAGAAAAAGAGAGAAAATTGAAGTCCTAATGCATTTATACCAGTACATTAATGGCAGAACAAGGAAACATAAGCACTAAAACCAACCAACCAATATGTAAGTCAAGTAAGTTGTAAGCTAATTAACCTCAAGAAAACCAATCTCCGCCTCCATCATCTGAATTCTAGCCAGCTCCCGGCGCTTACCGTACAAATTCGGACACTCAGGTGGTGGCTTAGGGCGCGGTGGTGGCAGCGACGGCACCAAAGAAGAGCCACCCGCAGGCGCCATCGATCATATATATATATAGGCAACTTCTTTGCTTAGAGTGTATATGTGCTGTTTTTATGTTTGTATATTTGTTAGCAATCATTAACAGAGCGGTATATAACGCAAAGAAGTAAGAATAGAAATAACCACTACCAGTCTACCACTATCACTCCATTTTAACTATTGGTAGCAGCAACATTAGGTGGAGAGAGAGAGAGATGGTAATGTGCCAAGGAGGTTATGTATGGAAAAGAGAAAACAGAGGAAATAAAGAATAACGCGTCAAATGAAACTCATAAAATTATCCTATAACTTAAATCCATATTTATTGGATAAATGAGTTGCGACAATTTTTTCAGTGAAATTCACTAATTTTATATTCATTTAAGGGACGATATATATTTGAATTTGATTTTTTAGATTTTATTTAAATTATGTAGTATTAGTTATTTACCGTGCTTGAATGCACGAAATAATAAAAAATTGTTAACAATAAACATATTTGTATTCATACTCAAAATCAAATTATAAAAATAAAAAAAAAACAAATAAATTTAAGCACCAATTGTAATAGGCGCGAGTGGTTGTGGTAGGGGCAGGGGGGTAGTGGGGGTGGAGGGAGGGAGTGGGGTAGTTGTGGGATGGTGATGATGGTGGTGGTAGTAGGGCTGTGGTGGTGATGGTGGGGTGGCGATAATAGTGATAATGGTGGTAGTAGTGATGGGGCAGTGGGGGGTGGTGGTGATGGTGGTAGGGATGATGGTAAGACAATGGTGGTGGTAGGGGTAAGGTGGCAACAATGGTGGTAATTGGAATAGTGTTATTAGGGCATTAGTGAGGTGGTGGTAACAGGGGATAGTGGTGTTAGGGCACTAATGAGGTGGTGGCGATGGGGCGCGATGGTGGTGGTAGTTGTCATGGTGGTGTATGGAGCAGGTGGGTGTGGTGGTCATGGGGGTCGACGACAATGGTAGTGGTGATGGTGGTGGTGGGGTGATGACAGCGGTGGTGGTAGGGTGGCGACAGAGGTGATGGTAAGGCGATGGGGATAGTGGTAGTGGCGGTGGGGCTGTGGGTGGGGTGGTGGGACAGTGGGTAAAAAATTACTTCAAACACATCTTTAGAGACTTATTTTATTTATTAAATTTTGGATGTTAATATTAGCCGTCAGATTAATTTTAAAGTAAAATTTAAAGAGATCTCAACCGCGAAAAGTAAAAGTTATTTTATTTATTTTTTTAAAATTTGAATTGTATTGTACTTTATAAATATATATTTTTCAAAAATAAAAATTCAAGTTTTTTTTTTGGTTATAGGGACGACTAGGTTTACGTTGATTACTTGTTTGAGCTCAATAGCTAGTCACCGTAATTTAAATTGTATTAGAGTGTGTCTCTAAAACAACGAGATTGATAGCCCTTAATTAATGTGAGAAGGGATTGTACCTAATTAATCAAAAATTGGACTCAACTATTGAATCACTCATAATAATTAAACAATAATTGAGGGAGTTTTAAAAGTTGACTAAATTCGATATCATACCTTAATTTATTATATTTGTGATTATTTTATTATATTTATGAGTATTTTTTTTATTATTATGATATCTCAAAAAATAATAAAAATAATTATTATAACAATAATAAAAACATCCACGAATATGATAAAACACCCAAAAGAAAAATAATTTATTTTATATGAAAATAAAGTGATAAAAATAATTACCACAAATATGATAAAAATATCAACAACATTGATGAAATTACCCATAAAAATTATAAATTATTTACAAAATAATAAATTTTTTAATTATAAAATAACTTACAAAAACTATAAAAATATTTTTTTAAATAATAAATTTTAAAATTATGGTGCTATTTTTTTTAATGGGTACCTTAGTGAAATCCAAAACTGAAGTTGCTGACCTGACCCCAGTCCTCCAAGTAAAAACAAACGGCAATAATCACTGCAGAGTCTCAGAACTTGCAGTACATATCCATACATGTCCACGTGAATGAATGAATGAATCATTCATTAATGCAAGACTTTTCATTTTCACTGACACTAATATGTATGTTGATGGGGGATGGTATGCAAGTAACTAAGTAGATGAAGAACATCAGGTATGCCAAAAAATATACGGTACCATTGAAATTTATAAATTTTTGGGTTTATTCATAATAAAAAAAAATATTTACAACTTTTTAGATCAATTATAACCTAATTTTATGGAGTTTTTCACAACATTTAGGTGTTATTTGTGATTGATGTTAGAATTTTAAAAATTAACTACGAATGACCCACAAAAATTATAAATGAGGACATGACCCAACCCTCTTGAAATGGATGGTGTACGTATATAATCTGTATGTACGTATTATGGAGTAATGTAGACAGACATGATGTCTCACGAGACAACACATTAATTTTAGAAAAAAAAAATAATACCAAACAATCCACAGCTAGTGATGGAATAGATTTTAGCAAGGGTATCCGAAGAATGCTTTAGTCCAGTTGTCGATCGAGGTCCAACACAACACAAAGAGATGAGTTAGAGGTCCCATTGGCGAGGTGTCGGTGGAAGACCCTCCAATACCTAAATCGGTAAAAACTGAATATATGAAACATACTATAAGTAGATAGAGAAAGTACGTGGGCTTGGAGGGTGACCTCCCAGCTGCCCGGTTGTGTGTGTCTTTCCTTGTTGGTTGTCAAGACTTCTATTTTATAGTGGGGATGGCTGATGGTAATGATGTCCCCTTTGAGTGTCTTAGTGGACAATAGTGTGTGGTTTGTCTAGCTACAACATTCTCTTGTACCCATCACTCTTTTTGTCTTTTAATTAATGAACAAAACATATACCATCCATCAGCTAGAGAGATGGAGGTGGGAGGGAGGAAAGTGTGGGTGAGGTGATTACAGGGTGACGGAAGGGGTTCTTGTTTCGGATGGAGTTTGGCGGGGGGAGAATGGGGTGAGTTATAGAAGCTAATGAAACTTTTTAGTTCTTCTCTGAGAATACACTTGAATGCATGTGTCTATTCTATAGTCAATTTAAACCGTAATCAATGAATTCAGAATGGAGCTTCATAATGCTTTTCCAAAATTATTGTCATAATCACAAACCCTAGGATCTGGAGGCATCATACAAAACTTTCAGTACATATAAACACAGCATGAATTCATACACAAGTTAAATTTTGCTTAATACATGTTACCAGATATTGACTAAAGTCAAATAGGTGTGAAAAATGCAATCTCACTCGAACACCGAGACATCTCCATTCCAACTACATGAAGCAATCACATTAGGCATGACAGGATGGAAAGCAACATCCATGCAAGCTTGTTCATACGCCTTCATTTTTTTCACAAGCTCAGAGGATTTAGAGTTGTAAAAGTAAATGCATCCATCTGAGGAGCCAGAGGCAATTTTTTCTCCATCCAGGTTGAAATTACACTTGATAGGGAACCCAGAAACGCTATGGCTTTCATATCTCCTGTACTTGTCAAGCTTGAAGGGTGGTTTGGAAGAGAAGATTGCAATGTAATTTTCCATTTGACTGAGCGACAAAATATGGATCAAAAGGGTGGATTCTAATGCATGGACAAGTATACGCTTCCACATAAACCTGAAGAGAAACATATGAGCTTTAATGGATCTCATCTGGAATACAGGAACCAAATAGACTACTCAAAAATAAAAAGTAAACTCAAATAATCAAAACAATAGCCATAAAAAATATACAAAGCAGAAGTCGTAAGTACAAATAAGGACAACCAGTGCACGCCGAGTCGGGGAAAGTAGATGTACGCAGCCTTATTCCTACATGTGGAGAAATTGTTTGTGTGACTCAAAGCAGTCAAAGCCCGCTTTCAAATCAAATATATATAAACAGTTTACACAAAAAAAAAAATATATATATATATATATATATATAGTAGCCAATACATCACTGAGCACATTCCAAATCCAGGCCAACCTCCTCAGGATTGCAGACATACCATGCCAAACATATAGATATAGTTTCAGTTCAGTTCAGTTGCAGACTGATTCTACCCCGCATGTGCAGTTCTTTATCAACTAAGCCAAATAGTCTTCATCTACTAACAATTAACTAGTGCCCAACAAGAAAAGGGGGAATAGAAAAAGAAAATAATAAGTAAAACAGAAAGAACAGAAAGAAAGAGAAGCAAGAGCCAAAATAAGGAGACAATTCTTACATACACTGATCTCTGCGAAGCAAATGCAATCATATCCATTTGAAAAGTCTCAGACTAGTCACATAATCAGGCAATCATACACACAGAAGTATGCAAAACAAATGGAGCCAACTCTCCATTTGAACATCCAAATATCCATAGCACTCACTATTTGAGTGGATCATAATAATGAGGAAATCAATTCCCTATCTTTTTAGCTAGAAAATGGAACTTCCCATTGGTCTGCTTAGTTAACAGGGATACATATGCTTGAAAAGTAAAGTTCAACAGTTTTAGTTCACCTTTTCAGTTGATCAATTGCTGCATATGTGACTGCATTGATGCGCCTACCCAGCCTATATATATATGAAGAGAGAGAATCGTCACCAGATTAGTGAAACGCGTACAATCATTGATCCATCCTATACATAAACTCTCACATCTAGAACTTCTATATGAGATATCAATTTGGAGACCACCAAGATTCCTGTGGATGAGGCTTGGGGATCAGTCCTCTCATATCTTTGGTGAACCATTATAATCTGATGGCTACAGAATATAAACGGCATTAAATCTAAGTAAAAAAACAAGGATGGACAATCCATCTCCTCTTCTATCTCCCCTCCCCTCACCACACATACCAAAAGGAAAAAAAATCAGACGCCGGTACCTTATGTTATGCTAGTCTACTAAACGGAATTTTCTTTTCTGGCATACATGCAAATTGAATTCAAATGAAACAAATAAAGGGAAACTCTTTAATTAGACTCCCAAAAAAAAAACCCAACCCAATAGATCTGATGTACCATGCTTTCTTAAATATATCAAACAGAGTAATGCAACACCAAAACACATATTTGAGGATGGTTTTTATCTTGATCAGCATAAATTGAGTCAAAACTGAAATGTGAACAATTTTGAGCATCTTCAGAACCATTTTTAAAATCCTATTTATTGTAAGAACTAAGAAGTAAAATCACACCGGTTGATAAGAATTGCCCATGAAAGGAAGCATCAGTTGGGAAACATAAAATCTACTATTCACAAGTCCATCCGCTAACTCCATTACACAAGAAGACAATCAACTGATGTTGAAAAAGAAGCCGCATCTATAGTATTCTTTTTATAAAACAAAAGGAAATGGTTGATGTATATTACCTGATTAGATAGCGGAACTTGCCGCAAGACATCCCAAACAATGATTGAATTTTCGCTGATATTGCCTTTGGATTCATCACAGGAAGAAATAAATTGCTTTGCATCAGTGGTGAATTCTACATCAAGGATTGGACCAAGACCTCGTCTATATTCATGGACCACCTACCCAATTCTAATATCCCATAATTTAATGAGGCCCTTTGAACCACCGGAAAGAAAAAGGTCGGAGTTGTTTGGATGAAATTTTACGACTCCAACAACCTGATCCTCCTTGAAAACCTGAGCCTCTAATCCCTTTTCAATGTCAATTAACCTTGATGAGCAGTCATACCCACAAGAGAGCAAGAACAGTCCCTGCTGTGACCACTTCACATCTTTCACACCTGCATTATGATAGTTAAAGACGCAAGCTTTCTTATGATCTCTGCTCCATACATTCCATACACAGATGCTATGATCCATTCCGGCAGATGCAAGCAGATGAGCTGAAGACTAACTTTATTGAACAGATCAGAAAGTCACTGAGCTGTAGACCAACTTTATTGAACAGAATAGGAAGGCACCCATCATGTATGGTAACCAAAACATATCATGTCTTGTAGTTAATTTAAAACAATTTACATGACACCCTGCAACTTGAATCTAACAATAAGATAAACTAAAAAGTATGGAACTGAACTCAAACACAGCTGCTCTGATGCTATACTACCAAGAGATAATATATCAAGAAAGCTATTAGAATTTGATTGGGTGATTAAAGCATTCATAGTTCCTAATACAGCACCACTTCGCGTTGTTTACGAATATAAGCTTCGTAAGTTTCCAAAGATATGTCCTCACATTAGTAATTTGATGAAAACAAAATCACAGCTTTTTCCATTCCTTTCTATACTTAAAAACCATGGCAAACTTAGGGTACAACTCAAAAGTCCATCCAGTAGATGTAAGCACTTCTCAAATAGATAAGATTTTTTGGTGTCCAAAAAAATTTGAACTTATCAAAAAGTGCATCTTAAAAATGCCCATTCTAGAGAAGTCTCTTAGGGAAGCTTTTCAAAACCATGATATTGAATTTCACATTGCTCTCCAAAATTAGCTTTAATTTTTTTCATTAAATATTTGTTTTAGCCTTGCTTCATAGGTAGTTTACATATCTCATATTATAAGGTAGAAAGTAAAAAAAAATATATCGTATTAGAACACCAGTTATAGATAGACATGACTAAATAGTTGTAGATAAACATGACTAGATGCAGATAGACATGACTAGTTATAGATAAACATTGGTTCAAAAGCACTTCTACAGTACACTTTTACCAACCAGTTAGGCATTTCAAAGAGTCTATGTTAAAAAGTCTAT